CCTGGTATCGCTCTTACCTGAGTCCTTTCTCAGCTACTGTCTCACCACAGCTTCGCGATGCTCAAGGAATGTACTTTGCTGGCAATCCAATACCAACCATCACGTCATGAGAGAGAGAGTTTAAACATTAGTTTTCTTTCCGTTCAGACAATCCTGGTGTGAATTGGGAGGTTTGTTGTATTGCTAATGGAGATGTGTCGTGCAGTAGAGCAAGAAGGCAGTAGCACTGCTTGAAGACGTTTAATGTTTGTCCTCTGGAGGCTGATATTTGGAGCATCCCCCAACGTGATGTCCTTTGCAGCTTTTGCAGCACTAGCTTTACACTCCACCATAAACAGGATTGCTTCAAACTACTAAGACAATAAATGACTTCAGTCAAATTTTATTTAGTCTGATCAGCCGGGTGTCTGACACATGCAGAAACCCATCACCGTGCTTAAGCGTATCCAAACCAAGCTGAGGATTTCATGCATCCCACTTGCACATGGAAATCCCAGCGATAGTCTGTATTTCAGTCCAACAATCTCCCTCCCTGGGGGGAAGCATCCTGCTTAATTACAGAAGGTATTAGGCGCAGGTTGACAAGAGCCAAGTCAACACACATCAACTTTGGTCATACGGTTTCATCTGAAATCGTTGACGTGAGCTACTGAGATGGCTTAGCCACGGTTAAACCTGCCATGCCACAATTGTGGCATTTTAGTGGTAGTTAGTTCATGGAATACCATTTTAACCCAACCGTGGGAGATTCTCCTGGTGCCCAGGCTATCGATCTTCTAGATAAAACTGATCAGCCACTTCCTGGCTGTTTGTGGGTCCTCGCTGTGAATAAATTAGCTGCTGCGTTCGTCTTCAAAATACACAGTCACTACACTATAAAAGAATAAATCTGTGAAGTGCTTTTGACATCGTTGACTTGATCAGCGCTACATCAAATGTAAAACTGTAAGGATTATTATTATTATTATTATAGCTGATGGCCATTGCAAATGGCTTCTGCATTTTGCATCTTTCCTGAAAATTCCTCCACCACTCCAGAGGGCAAACAAGAGAGCCACCACCAACATGAGCGCAGAGCTCAGTACCACACCGTGTTGTGAAGGAGAATCAGACATTACCAAAAGCGACATTCTCGTCATTCTTTTTGAAAAATGAAGTGTGAAGCTAAATAAGGGGTTGATTTCCACTCTCACACGGCTTGGTTGGTAAAAGTATCACAACTTGCTAATGAGCTATTCCGATCAGTATCCACCCTGACTTATGCCCAGGGTAGGAGTCCTGTAGCTTCGTGGTTACAGCACTCGCCTCGCGAGCGAGAGGACCTGGGTTCGATTCCTGGCAGGGCGAAACGTTGGGCAAATTTTCTTACTCCACACGCCTCTGTTTACCCAGCACTAAGTAGGTAAACCCCATTGTTAGTCGATCGCTGGCGGATCACTTTTCCGGGGGTAATAATCCCTTCTCTCAAAAAAATAATAATTTGGTCACATAATCCACGACTGTATGTGAGACAGTTAGCTGCCGTGTTTCGCCCACGAAACATACAGTCTATTCACATTACAGTATATTCTGTGTAACACTTTGAGACGTCTAGAAGACGTGATAAGGCGCTATATCAAATGCAAGGATTATCATTATTATCTATATACCAATTTAGCTGATCTCAGCAGCTAAGTTAATGGTCTCAGTGCCTTGGGCTAAGGAGGGGAGAGATCAGCTAGGGACATGGTTCTCACCCCCACACACTGTCCATCGACCACTTACAGAGTGAAAACGTGGAGACCTTGGGGGAACACCTTGATTTAATACTCTTCCCTTCCCTCGTAGTGACAAGCTTCTCAGGGCTCACTGTTAAGCCTCACACAGGATAAGACCCTTGGGCCTTGGTTCAATGAGCTGTCAGTGACTCTGAAACCTTACCCAGCTTCAGGAAAGTGCTGTGTGTGTGTGTATGTGTGTCGGTGTGTGTGTGTGTGTGAGTGTGAGTGAGGAAATCAGCCTTAATTTTATACTTGCATTAACAGCCTAAAGCTTTCAAAGACAGAGATGTGCATCTCATACTGCCATCATGTGGTTACCTGATCACTACCTAACTCTAGCAACACGAGTTAGTGACTTGGATATTTAGAAGGAGAATTTTTTCCAATTGGCAAATGCCGGGTCTCAGTTGCTCCACTGTGTTTGTGGTAGATTTAGTGAGTTCCTCAACTAGTGGCAGTTTTGTACCTGAGAAGATTTAAAACTTCCTCTCCACTTTACAGTATTGAACAGGATCACAGAATATTTCAGCATACAATAATAATCCTTGCATTTCATAATGCCTTATCACGTCTTCTAGACGTCTCAAAGCGCTTCACAGAATATGCTGTAAAGTCAATTGACCTGACAAAGAAGGAGATTTGGCTCTTCAGGCCTGTGCCAGTTCTCTGTGTAAGAGCTTCCTGTTTAATCCCACTCCCCTGTGTTTCCCCTATAAGCTTTTATATTTTTGCCGAGCAGATCTTTGTTCAATTCCCTTTTTAAAGTTCCTAAGGCTTGTTCTGAGACATCCAGCTACTGCAGGGGATTTGCTATCTATGAAAACCGCACATTAGATTCCATTATTAAGTATCCCACTATCAAGTTTGCCTTCCGAATACAGTCACTACGCTTTAAAGCAAATCCTGCGAGGTGCTTTCTGCTGTTCTCTGAACAATGAAAGGTGCAACATCAATTGTAAGGCTTGTTATGGTTACTGCCTCTCACTGAAATTCTGTGGCTGCAGTGTGCACTATCGACAGAATGCACTGCAGCAACTTACAACTTACTCAGCTGCCTTCATGCCATCGAACCTCCCTACCTATCCGATTTGCTTACCCCCCCCCCCCCTCCTTCACCACCAGCTGCCTCCGCTCGGCTAGCTCCGGCTTCCTGTTCATCCCTCGTCCCCTCCGCTCCACCATCGGCGGTTGTGCTTTCAACCACTACCCCCCGAAACTCTGGAACTCTTTCCCTCAATCCCTCCGCCTTGCCCCCAAATGACTAAATCAATTTTCACAAGTAAAAAAAATGGCTTACCTTTCACTTACTTAGTGGAAACGGATTAAATCTAAAATATGAAAACAGAGCCAATGCTGTATTTTTTTAGCTCAGTATAAGTGACACTAATATATTCCCTTTCTGTTTGTCTCCAACTCTTATTCTGTCTTTATAGTGTTTGATATTAAGAAGCTGCTCTTAATTGCACTAACAGAATTGAGAAACTGATTAATAAATGAATGCTGTTTAAAAATGTAATAAATGTCAACATTATTTATTGTGCTCTAAAACTATGCATTTGTTCTATTTATAAATTCTACAAAGGACTGGCAGCTGAGCTCTGGGAGAAGCCGTCAGTCAAAGGGTTGTCCCCATGGTGTTACTCTAGATTTAGTAGCACACAAAAACCGGATCCTCGCCTCACAAGCCCGGCAAATAACTACCTCAAAGGACTTGACGGAGTTCTGATAGGATACATCCTGAAGCTAGAGGAGGAGAATTGCTAATCTTTGTTCTCATGTGTTGAGCACATCTACTGGAGTACGTGATAATTAATATTCTAATACCATATATTTGTCAGTGGCTGTATGCTTGGGTGCTACTAGGCTGCGCAGTGTATCTTGAACGGACTGATCGAGCAAGTATTTCCTCCTCCAGCGTATTCCACGTGCGATGGGGCGAAAGGGCAGGACTTTTCAGAGGGTATCCGTTTCGGTAGCGAAAGCATGAGGTCTTGGCTCTGGATTGATGGCCACTGGTTTCTGAGCTTTTTGATTTAATGGTTGGGGGGGGGTGGGGGGGAGAGTGGGGTGACGTTTGCAGTGTTTTCCTAACGGGATCGATGTGACGACGCCACCTGGTTTGTAAGGTGGTTTTAGAGTGTCAAGCACATCTTGCGTCCCGCTCTGGTGCCAGCGAGAACAGGCCCAAGTTGTGGGTCCTCAAGGCTGGGCCTGTGTTCAACTGTGATGCTCCCACGCAAGTTACTCGCTAGCCTAGCTTATCAACGTTTTCTATCTAACCAAAGCTTCTGAAAAAAAAAACTGCAGCGTGTCAACTCAGGCATAGGCCGCACCAGTACAAGAGAAAACCACACACTGTGTGGAATTTGTTACGTTTTAGCTTTCCCAACCCACTTAGCGCTCTTGAGGTTCAGCCTCGATGCCATGTCGCGGGAACGAGTGGGCGCTCTCTCTGTCGGTTGAGACACTTGTATTGTCAAGGAATTCAACGCGAAGCTACTTACGGTCTTGATCAACTTTTTATGTAGGGCAGCCATTCGAAGGTAAGTGGAAATAAAATAATAGCGAGAATGAAGCTCTCCAAATAGGTATGCTATACAAATGTATAGCATACATATCAGTGAATCTCCCGGCTCAGTTGATAGCACTCTCGTGTTTGAATCAGAAGGATGTGGGTTCAAGCCCCACGTTAGGAATTGGAAACCAATATAGTCTATGCTGATTCTCCAGTGCAGCACTGGGGGGAACGTTGTATTTGTAGGAGGTGAAAGGCGCTATCGAAATATAATCTTGTTGTTTCGTCCTTCTGATAGAATGTTAAACCAAAGTACCGTTCCAGGTAGATGTTGAAGATCCAATGGCACTATTCATTGTTCGTCAAACTAATAAGTTCTTTGCTGGTTCAGTACTGTGCAGTAAGTTTCTGACGAAAATGCTTTGGGAAGATCCCTGCCCCAAACAAAAAGTCAGCTGGCCTCAGTCAGGCTGCAGTAGGAGACAGTTGGTCAGATAATAATCAGCCTGGGTATGAGAGGATATCATTCCCTCCACCTCCCCACGCTGGGAAAATTAGTTTTCAGATGCCAGTCTCCTTAAAATCTGGGTTTGCTAACAGCTCTATACTGACATACATATATAGTGGATGTTTTCGATGGTTTACTCAACAGTTTGTTAGAATACAGGGAACAAAATAGGGTATATATAACTGTATAATGCATTTTCATCCACATCAAATGAGCTGGATTCAAAGAGCATTTTATTTTCATATTAATACATGGAAAAGATCTTGCAAATACAAAGCCCGAAATGCTTTTAGCTCAAAAACAGGAAGGACAGATTAAATTTCTTCACGTATGTCACTGTTTTAAGGCACAACTATGCATAGGATCAATTGTTTAAACTTCGGTTTGCAGATTGTCGAAATAAATCAGAACCATCTACGGTCAACATTATTTCCGGTTTTCAAACGCAATTTTATCAAAATGTAAAATTATGAAGACATTATGGTACAAATTTGACAAGATACTTAAGCAAGTGCCTGCTCAAATGTCTTAAACAACATGATGTCAGAGTAGTCTGCCATCACTGATGCTTTAATGTACAAAAAACAGTGTGAAGGCATTCTAGGAGTACTTGTAGAAGCCTTCTGCTGTCTTTTTACCCAGCTTGTTTTCTCCCACCAATTTGTTTAGTAGCGGGCTGGGACTAAACAAGGGGTTATCGGAATCCAATTCATGCCATCCTAAAGGGGAGAAAAAAAAAAGTGACTGATTAATAAATCGTACAGTTTGAAACATCTTTTGCGTTAAAGACACCAACCACTAAAAATAACAAGTAACTTCCGAAAGTGGTGCTGGACTGGACAAAAAACTATATGATTGTGGATTAACACAATTTGGATCAGGATTTAAAAGGGAGAGCAAACATAATCTTATTACTTTTTAAAACTGCATGTAATTTACACAAAGCCTCATCCGACAGAGAATTAAAATAAATGCATCACTTTCCCTGCCCACTGATATTTTAAAAGTCAAATTAGACAACCAATATTATCAATGTTGATTTAAGGAAATCAGATTTAAGCAAGCAAATAATTATTTTATTTTAAGTCAGGTGAGTGACTGACATGCGGAAACACATTGGAGTATCCAAACCAAAACAGGGTTCCTAAAATGCCTGGAAATTTCCTTTTGCCTCGAATGGAGTTGTGCACTCTCTAGCCAAAGAGACATCCTCTGCTTACCATATCCTAGAAAGGTTGGCAAGGTTTGACGGGACACCAGAGTTGAATTACTGCTAGAGCTTAACCAGCTAACACCACATAGCGTCTGGCTGTTTAAGAATCATTTATACAAATCCACAGTAATCTATATAACGCGTCAACCATTTACCAAAAAGTGTTGATACAAAGATCCTAAAGCAGCAAATGCTGACAAAGCCGTGCACACACACACACACACACACACACATTCAAGGGTCGCCCTCGGTTTGAAGCCACCCTAAATGATAAAATCCTCACCCAGATTTACCAAGTGTATTTGGATATTTAAAGCGCAAAGCGAATCGACAGGTCAGTGGATGCTCACAGGCCCTTAGCGTCGATATAATCGACAAAAGTTTAATTTTGGTCGCTTCCAATCGTAGGATGCAGGTTGCTACATCATCCGATACGATAAACCAACAAATCTAAAATTTCTTAAGTTCCAAAACTTAGGCCTGAAAATTCCACAACCTCCCTTTAATTTTCTTTTCACCCACATAAATGCAGCTTCACCGCAGCACCACCTCCTGGGCACTTCGGCAATCTGCTGCCACTAATCCTCAATTTCGATCCACGCATAAATAAAAATGGTCTTAACCTCGTTTCACAATCTGCACCTGATGTTCACGTTAAGGATGAACTGATTTATGGACTGATTTTCTTGCTTGTTCAGATCGAAATGACTTCAATTCCAGAATTTTTGATATCTTGGAATTATTAAGTTTTACGATAATCCTTATAATCATATTAAATCGATTTTTTAAAAAAAAAAACAAAGTACTATCACCTCATTTTCTGCAAGCCAGACAGTGCTCCCAGCGGGAAGCTAACCTCAACACTGGAGAGTAAACATGATGTACTAAAAAGCAGGGAGGGTATGAAGGCTTGATCACCGAAGCTGCTGAGTAGGAAATCTCAGACTTGCTGGCAGTGGGACATTTTGTCTCTGCGTTGCGGTGGGTCAGGGTACAAACTGAAACTTTAGCTGCAGTTCACTGTGGTATAAAACTTACTGTAGTTCAGTGACTCTGCTGGAGATCTGGGGTCACGCACATAAACACTCTCAACTGCAGAAGTGGATTGGATGAGTTGTGTCTATTTTAACTGGAGCAGAGGTTGACTGGGGACCAGAAAGAATATGCATAACATTGCGGGATCTTGGCTGGTTACATAGGGAGATGCTACATTCACTAATGAAGGAGTCAGTGTCTAGACTGGGGGCAATAATTATTATTATAATAATCCTTCCATTTGATACAGAGCCTTATCACGATAATCACACGAGGAGTGAAATAAGATTTTAGGAGATTTGTTTTCCACTAAGAGAGAATACAAGTTAAGTGGTAGAGGCGGGAGTCCATTGTGGGTTTCAAGAGGGAAGTAGACAGGTATAGAGGGAGGATGGAGGCTTGAATGAGTATGGGGATAAGGCTGGGCAGTGGGATTGAATAAACTTCTTGCTCTGAGAGCTGGTGCAGACTCGATGGGGCAAACAGCCTGCTTCTGCGCTGTAAGCGCGTAGTGCCAGGAGTTTAAAGAAAAAATAGAAACATTTTAACAAAACCTCGGGAAAAGCACTCAGTCATTTAATATGAAGTAAAAACAGAAGTCGCTGGGAATGCTCAACAGGTCAGGCAGCAACTATGGAGAGAGGAATGACTCCAATTCCATTGCTCCTACCTCGGTTCTTCATTGTAAAACAAGCTGTTTGGGCAATGGATTACATTTCTCACCACAAGATCACCTACGCCTTATTATAAAGAAGTAATTGAATCATTACACACATAAACATGCACCCATGACTCCCACAAAGTCTGAACACAATAGGCTGAGCAGACAAACAAAGCTTATACATTTAACTACAGGACCAAACATTACCTGCTAATGCAAAGATCAAAACTGGGATACAATAATACAAAGGTACAGATATACAAATATCTAAGCAATGCCACTAATTTTCTTATTTTTAGACTGGTCTGTTCAGGGGAATTTCCCCAGAATTTAGTCTTCAATCCATGAGTCTTGGATACCACTGAGTTTCGCCCACAAAGTATACAGTCAGTTGACTTTACAGTATATTCTGTGAAGCGCTTTGAGACGTCTCAAAGATGTGATAAGGCGCTATATCAAATGCGAGGATTATTATTATTATCATCAACAACCACTTTAGCATTCTTCTATATAAATCTTACCCAAAGACCAATTAACGCTAAAATCCAAATGGAGTTTTTATTTTTTTCAGTAAATCAATTAAGAGACATCAAAGGCTACAAAATCAAAGAAATCGATTTATCTCTACATACCATCAATAATATACTTGCTGGTGTCAAGCCCAACATAATCCAGTAATTCGAAAGGACCCATGGGGTAGCCTGCACCCAATTTCATTGCCAAATCAATATCTTCCTTTGATCCATGACCTTGTGAAAGAGCCAAAAGAGACAAGATTTTAAAAAGACAAAATAAAGCCATGTTACTTAAGGGAGTCCGCATTTCGAAGATTTCAATGGGAAAGGGCTTTACATAAAATTCACACCATCGTTACTTAAAACAAGGCCCCTAGGCATTGCAAATGGAAAAAAGTGCTCCGCTGTATTTATGCAGACACAAAAAGCTTGATTGGGTCAATTCGTCTTATGAAACACAATAAGATAAAAAATACAGTAAGACGCCATCCCGGAAGACCGTCAATTTAGGCGTTCGGCATTCAACGTGGTACATGGCAAATTGTTCCCATCCCAGCATTCTTCCCTTTTTCATTTAAGTGCATACATGGAAGATGTGTAACACATACACAGTAATTTATTTGTACATAAATTAGTGGTTCTTAGCTCCTGATTTTATACGTGTCAAAATGGAGCCTTTCCCATTTTGCGTGTTGTTTTCCATGTCGTTATCTTGTATTTGGAAAAAGGAACAATAAATAGTGCTTTAAAAAAATGCATTATTTCAATTAATGATGTCAATGTTATGTTTAGAATTTTAAAATTGACCATTAACTTCATGGCAGTTTGTGGGACACTGTTGTGCTCAAATTGGCTGTTGCGTTCGCCCACAAGACACACAATCACTACTGGAAATGATATCACTTTGTTTCCAGCAGAATATACTGGAGTATACTATACTCTACATAAGTTAGCAATTTCATACACTGCAGTGCCTTCCATATTGAAAACATATCTTCAGTGAAATAAAAGACTAAGGTTACAATGTTCATACTGATTTCATCCCAATTGTGTCTTTGATCTTCCAATTTCTAATGTCAAACCAAACTGCGATTTAATTAGCAGTGACACTATATTAAAAGTAGTATAGTATAGTTTAAAAAAAGCTTAGCTTAAAAGTACACTGAGACTCATTTTGTCTGGGTGGCCATAAATGTCAACTCATCTCAGTTGACATTTATTAAATACATTCACTTATCACCTGAGGTATTGAACTAAAAAAGTCCCATGAAAAAAGTATGTTCATGGAGGGAAACCCGGGACAGCAACTCTACAAAAAGCAGCGGTGTCCACTCAATTAGCCTTATATGACTTAACTAAAAATCTGCTTTGTGACGAGCAGGACTTCTGTCATTTAATGAGGGATCTGTGGAAAAACTTGCATTTTATTAAAGAAAACTACAACTCAAGCTCTGGAATAGAAAGCTTGGAGCTGCCTTGAAGATTGAGTCCTGTAGCTCAGTGGTTAGAGCACTCGCCTCGCAAGCGATAGGATCTGGTTTTGATTCCCGGCAGGATGAAACGTTGGGCAAGTTTCCTTACTCCACACGCTTCTGTTTACCTAGCAGTAAGCAGGAACCCGGTTGTTAGTCGATTGGCGGATTGCTTTTTTTGGGTGTAATAATCCTTCAAAAAAAAATTGGGTTACTCAATCCACAACTGTTTGTGGGAAACTGCTGTGCGCAATCAGCTTCTGCGTTTAAATACCAGCTCTTTTAGAGAAAGAAAGACATACAATGCATTTGGTTTTTACCAATTAGTAGGTTGATAGTAGATTTACCAAATGAACTAAACCCGGTTGTCAGTTAATTGGCAGATCGCTTTTCTGGGGGCAATAATTCCTTAAAAAAAGTCACTCAATCCACGACTGTTTGTGGGACGCTGCTGTGCGTAATTGGCTGCTGCGTTTCACCCACAAAATACAGTCAATTCATTTTACAGCATATTATGTGAAGCGCTTTGAGACGTCTCGAAGATGCGAAAAGGCGCTGTATCAAATGCAAGGATTACTATTATATTATAACTATCGTGGGACCTGCGCAAGTTTGTAAGCTGCAAGTCTACAGTAGTACCTCTTTCATGCAGCCGGACCGCTTCCATCAGGTATGGCACCAGGAGGCGGTTCACAATAAATCCAGGCGTATCCTAGGAAGAAAAAAGTGGACATGTCAGTTTTTCTGTTAAATATTGAAGCTCACAATGTGTTTAAAAGAACTTCACTAAGAAAGTAAATATATTGAACAAGAAACCCAAGTGTTTTTTTTTAAAAAAACACCTTTCTTTGAAACAGATTTGCAAGACCAAGAACTATAGATTATGCAGACCAGGGGTCCTAAAAGACCAGAGCAAATAAGACCAGGGGAAAAGTTAAACAAATATATTTACCCTGGGCATCTCTTTTCTTCCTGACCAAATGAATAAACATTAAAATAATTTGGGTGAAGAAAGAAAAGTTTGGGTGAGTACAAAAATCATCAGGAAGTTGGCCAGATTAGGGGTGAAATTGGTTGAACTTTGAATTGTCGTATATACCTCATGAACACAAACATACGTACATGCATACACATACACAAACATACACAGATTATATACACACAGATAGTCGTTCGAGATTGACAAAGATAATTGTTGGAAATTAATGCTCGTCAGAACTCAACCATGGATCCTTGAAAATTAATTGATCATTTGCAATGGATTCCAGAGACTTTTTTTGGCGTGACTAAATGTAGGAAGTTCCCAATTATAGTGAATAGTTGGCGTTTCTCAATTGAGAGAAGTAGCATGTGGTCTGATTAGAGGCTTTTGCATTCTAGCTTGCTGCAGGAGATGGAAAAACCTGCATAGATTTATCTTTTCTTCTCTTGAAAGATTTGTGGTCAGAAATTCACAGAAGTAACCCTACCCACAAGTGCAGCTTCCGCGGAAAAGCCTAATCTACAGGTGTGAGTCAGACAACAAACAGCCAGAAAGGTAACCACAACTGTCTCAAACTGCTTCAGAAGATGTTTATGTGAAGTGTAGTGACTGTATATGTGTAGGTGAATGTGGCAGCCAATTTGCACAAGGCAAGTCACCAGTAGAAACTTTTTAAGTAGTGCCATAGAATCTTTAACATTTATCTCAACAGCCAGGCATGACCTTAGTATAACATCTTATATGAAGGAACAATGTAAAGATCCTTCAGCATTGCATTGAAGTGTCAGCCTGGACCATGAGCTCAAAGTCCTGACATGGGGCATGAACCCCAAACCCCATGCTGACTCGAGCCACTCGACACCTTGGTACCCAACCAGCCAGAGCCATCAGAGAAGCAGCTGACAATACAGTAGTAAGAAAATGTAATAAAGGCAGACAATTTTACCTTACAGGCTACAGGGTTTTTCCCCAACACCTTGGTGAAACTCATCAAGGCATCAAATGTCTGTTGGCTGGTCATTGGCGTCTGAACCACCTAAGAGATATAATTAGATTGAATCATTAAGTCATTAAATTGGTCCACTTCGATACTAAACAATCAACTATTCAAACAGCTCTTCCACATCTCATCTTAACCTCAGCTCCACTTAAAGACAGAGTAACCCAAACCGGTCAGGATGGAATCCTGAATGTAGTTTTACAATTTACCCCCCTCCCTCCCACAAAATAGTTTTGATTATGTGATTTATTCAATGTGTCTAATGAATCAAATTTTCTCCATTATTTCCCCCCTCCCCCTTCTCCTGTAGTCGGACTCATTTTCTCTTCTCAGAGCAGACTAACAGCTTGAGATTCTGCCAAGTCTTAGTCTGCAAGATTATTATGTCTTCAGATTGAAGACTGCATTGAATTGGGGAAATTCTTCAATTCAGTCTTAATTTGGAAATTGGCTTTCTGCACTTCTTAGAAAGAAATGGCTTGAACAATTGAAAAGACAGAAAGACTACCAACTCAACAGAATCTAGAGAACTTGTCACTTTCATAATTTATAGTAGTTAAGGTCAAGGGTAGGAGCATTTGTGGTTGAACATGGCATCTGTGCTGTGCATAGAAAGGTCCCACAAGCAACTATCAAGTGAATGACGAATTTTCCATGGAGGATTATTGGGTTAGGAGTCCTGTAGCTCAGTGGTTAGAGCACTCGCTTTGCAAGTGAGAGACCTGAGTTCAATTCCAGGCAGGTAAGGGCGAAACCTTGGGCAAGTTTCCTTACTCCACACAGAGCCTAATAATAATCCCTCCAAAACAAAACAATAATAAATTGGTCATTTTCAATCCATGACTGTTTGCGGGACATTGCTGTGCGCAATTGGCTGCCGTGTTCGCCCACAAATATACAGTCAATTCACTTTACAGTATATTATGTGAAGCGCTTTGGGATGTCTAGAAGACGTGAAAAGCGCTATATCAAATGCAAGGATTATTATTATTATTATTGGCCAGGACAAGGGAAGAAACTCCTTTCTCTCTTCAAATGGACTCTGCTGAAGACCTTTCTTTTCGACCGCGCCTTTGGTCACCTTCCTTCCTCTCCCCGGCTCGGTCCCGGGATCCGTTATTGTGAAGCACTCTGAGATGTAGTCTGGCATGGAGGGCGCTATATAAATCCAAGTTGTTGTTGTTGTCCTTGATTAAGGTCTCAACAACAACAACTTGCATTTATATAGCGTCCTCCACGCAGGGTAGCGTCTCAGACCGCTAACAACAACAAGATTACATTTGTATAGTGCCTTTCACGTCGCGAGGACGTCCCAAGCCCCTGAATAGTGTACAACATTTCAGACCCGAGCTGGGGTCAGGGGGGGAAGGGAGTGGAGGGGAAGGGTGGTGGCTGATGGCCTGGTCGAAAAGGAGGGTCTTGAGGCTAAGGAGGGGGCGAGGCAGAGTGACTGGGGGATGGAATTCCAGAGGTTGGGGGCAGAGTGGCTGAAGGCTCTCCCGCCAATGGTGGGGCGGGGGACGTGGAGTAGGTCGGAGCCAGCTGAACGGAGGGAACGGGCGGGTTGGTAGGGGGTTAGGAGGTCGCAGAAGTAGGGTGGGGCGAGGCCATCTAATTGTAATTGAGGACCAGGAACTTGAAATGGATCCTCTGAAGGATAGGGAGCCAATGGAGTTGGGCGAGAATGGGGAAGATGGGGTCACGGAGTTTGGTGCGGGAGAGGACACGGGCTGCAGAGTTCTGGATTATCTGCAGTGTGTGGAGGGAGGAGTTGGGAAGGCTGACAAGCAGGGAGTTTGCGTAGTCGATCCTGGAGGTGATGAAGGCATGAACAAGAGTTTCAGCGGCCTGAGGGGTGAGTCAGTGGAGGAGTCGGGTGATGTTACGGAGGTGAGGGAAGGCAGAGCAGGTCATGGCTTGAATGTGGGGGAGAAAAGACAGTTGAGGGTCGAACGAGACACCTAGGTTCCTGACTGGCTTGGTGAGTTATAGTGTGTAACCATGGAGGTTGATGCTGCCAGACACTGAGGTGCTGAGGCGGCTAACAGTGGCGGAGCCTGACTCCGAGCCGGGGGGAGAAGTGGCTGTAAGCACGGTTGAAGAGGAAGGTTTTAAGGTGGGACTTGAGAGGGGCCAAGGTGGAGGGATTGAGGAAGTGTGTTCCGGAGTGTTTCAGGGTGTAGTGGCTGAAAGTGCGACCGCCGATGGTGGGGTGAAGGGTGCGAGGGACGAGCAGGAGGCCGGTGCCAGTCGAGCGGAGATGGTGGATCGGGGAGTGAGGAGGTCTCACATGAAGGATGTGAGACTTGATTCCATCCTGACCACCAACAAAGTAACTCTCCCCCAATACTGCAGTCCAAATGTGGGGCTTGTTCACACAATTTTCTTACTCAAGTGGTGAGAGCGTTACAAACTGAGCTAAGCTGGTTGGCTGCAAACAAATAAATCCACCGAGGGTTTTCTTTTCACCGATTTTGCGCTTAATAGAAAAACAAAACAAAACCAACCTCTACCAGCTTCATCAAAGGCACAGGGTTGAAAAAGTGGAGACCACCAAAACGGTCCTGCCTGGATGTAACATTTGCCATCTCCGTGATGGGCAATGATGAAGTATTGCTAACAAAGATGGTGTGCCTACCGGAGAAGCAAAGGGGGTTAAAAAAAAAATTACTCCTTCAAAACAGTGAAGTACAGTAGAAGCCGCTTTAGCCGGATGTCGGTTAACTCAGCACAGCAGGTAAATGGGCCAAAAACCCCAGCCCCGATTCATTTGAATTCTTACCCGTTTTAAATATGCCTGTTAATTCGGACAAAATTTGGTTAAACTGGACAAAATCCACGCTGGTCACTCCGGCATCTAATCACTTGTGAAACTGCAAATTGATTTGACAGAGGACTCCAGTCATTCACAAGTGGCTCTGGGCTGTCAAACAATCTGAGGGTGGTGGGGGGGGGGAAGAGGATCAGAGAAGAAACAAAAGAGGGAATGGGAGGAGGCAAATTGGGATTGATTGACAGCTGAGCCGCTTGTGATTGGCTGGAGCCCATCAATTCACAAGCGGTTCCAAGGCTGTCAATCACCTCGGAGCCGCTGCTGATTGGTTCCCTTCTCATCCAATGGGAACGGCAATGGGAGAACTTCGGTAAGCCTTGGACGCCGCTTAAGCCGGACAATATGGCTGGCCTTGAGGTGTCCAGTTTAAGCGGCTTGCATTGCATGCAAGGTTACGCATTAGGTCATTCATTTTCCATCATTTACTACTTCAAATAAAACAGCTTTTTCAATGACAGATGCTTGGAAATAAATACATAAATAAAAATAAGAAACCTTTAATTTCATATAGCATTTTAACACATTGTCGAGATACCTAAAAGAAAAGCACTGCACAGGTTATAGTTTTGTGAAGCAGTGAAAACGGACCAAATACTTACGCTGGTGCAAACTTATCCAGTTTCTGGAAAAGCTCCTGCTTGACACTCATGTTTTCCAAAATAGCTTCGACCACCAGGTCAGTGTTGTGAACAACAGGCACAGCATCTGTGCAGATACTGATTCTCTGAAGAGTCTGCTGAACGAATTCTGCACCGGCCTAGAGGGTTGGAGAAAAGCAGTACAGTAGTGAAGACCGAGATCTTGTTGTCACTTTCACTCGGGCTCTTTCTTTTCACCAAGGATTTTTCCGAACACATTTGTGGAAATTTAATTGCTTAGAATTATTCCTTCCTCCCGCCACACAGATTGCTGCGTTGTAAAATATTCAAATGGCAAGGGTGAACGTTTGTATTAATGATACTCCATCTGCTAAAGGGAGTTTACATTACGCAGAGGCACTTGTTGAGAACAAGGTGCTCGTTTCCATAATAATAATACTTGCATTTGATGCAGCGCCTTATTATGTCTTGGATACGTCTCAAAGCGCTTCACAGAATATACTGTAAAGTGAATTGAGTGTGTATTTTGTGGCCGAAATGCAACTGTACATTATATAAAAATGGGGGCGGGGGGAGGGCAGAACAACTACATTCCCTAAAAAATATTACTCTGCATAATTTTAGAAAGTCAAGCAATGCCTTTTCTAGTTGACTTCAATTTATTAATTCAATCTCCCCGAGTTGCAGACTCCCCTCATATTACAGCTCTCCTCCTCATGTCTCTGGGAACGTAGTTTGCTGCGACGCCAGTATGCAATTTTGAGTGTTTCCACTCCACTTACATTAATGTCGGCAGTTCAGATGGGCCCTGAACGCTGAATTGAGGTGCTTAAGCTAAGAAAACCTAATGCTGCAGGTCCTGTTTACCTAAATAAACCATAACCTATACCACCAGACAACTCCAGGTTCATGGTTCCACTGTTAGGACATTGGACAATCTGAAGACATATGTAGGCTGCAAGTTAGTACCAGAGGCATTACATTCTCCTGCCCATAGAGACCCATCACATCTGGTCTCCACGAGCAAGAAAATCAGTTACTTACTAAAGGCATCTTCTGTAAAGGCTGCAGCGTTGTTCCCAATTTTGTGTTTAAAATTGTAGAAGAGCGCTTTCTCCTGAAAGTACTCCCCAGCCACCAGAAGTAGAAATAATTCAAAAGAATTTTTATCCCTTAGCCGTGCTAACATCTGTTTAAAGAAGCTGGCCTCAAGCTAGACATCTGAATGGTTGGATGCCACACATTGCCACAGTCCCTCCGCTGAACTAGAGGAAGCAGCTAATAAGCCTAATAAGCCACAGAGTATGACAGCAGTTTTAAAAGTTTAGCACAACTGCCCTTTGGAACTCTGTAGTACGTTGGTTAGAGCACTCGCCTTGCAAGCGAGAGGACCAGGGTTTGTGCCTGAAAGTGAGGTGGAAGCAGATTCGATATAACTTTCAAAAGGGAATTAGATAGGTACTTAAAAAGGAAGAATTTGCAGGGCTATGGTATAAGAACGGGAGAGTTGGACGAGTTGGTTGCTCTTTCAAAGAGCTGGCGCAGGCACAGTTGGTCGAATGGCCTCCTTCTGCGCTGCAAGATTCTAGGATTCAATTCACTTTACAGTATATTCTGTGAAGCGCTGTGGGACTGCTCAAAAACGTGATAAGGCGCTAGGTCAAACACAATTATTCTTATTCTTTGAAGCGCTTTGAGACGTCTCAATGACATGATAAGGTGCTATATCAATTGCAAGGATTATTATTATTATTTGTGACTGAATTGCAACGCATAAAATAGAACAAAACATTGCCACAAAAAATAAGAAGCGTACAAACGTTTACGAATTGTGACCAAGATCAGCAGAATACATTTCTCCTTTTAATAATGGGTGTAATCCTCAGCATGTGGTATCTGCCACTAGATGGAGTTAATGACCTATACAAATGACAACCCTGAACTATCGTTAACAAGTGGAATCAATGACGGATGGAAAGCAAGACAACAACAACAAAATTACAAGTGTATAGAGGATTTCACTTCGGGAGGGTGTCCCAAGGCTCTGGACAGTCAGTGTATCGACAGTAACCATTGGCAATTTGCAGCAGGGTCAAGCTTCATTCACCCACACTGCATAAAGACGCTGGCAATATTTCTGAGTATTCGTGCCCTTTCCTTCCTACATATAGTACATAGGTAGTTCAGAACACATGCACATTTGTCCCGAACTACCTATGTACTATATCCCATAATATTATCTCCTAACAGAAAGCTGTCTAATCTTTGTTTGAAGAAATCAATATTTGCTCACAAATAAAAGGGTTTTTAACCTGCATTTTGCCAACCCAGGTTTATTCGCTGCTTCCTCATTTATTCCATTAATCTCTCTGCCTTGCCCCTCTTTATCCACCTTCAAATCCCACCTGAATGCTTACCTCTTGAATCGTGCCTATCGTCACTCCCACCCTCCCCTCTCCCTTGCTCGGTGTCCATCCCTGCCTGCCGTTGAAGCAGTAACGCTATCCTTTGTGAAGGGCGCTATAGAGTATATCCAAACCAGACTGAAGAGTTCCACATATGCATGGCCCCCAGCACATGGACATGTCTCTGTATCTGGAATGGAATGCGCATTCTCTTCCTGGAGGATTGCCCACATTGGAAGAGCTCTGCGCTTTTCAAAATGTTGTGCATGACTTGCACCTACAAGGCCATTCACGGCCTTGCTCCCTCCTACCTCTCCGACCTACTATCCCCCTACCTACCTGCCCGTACCCTCCGTTCCTCTGGCTCCGGTCTGCTCCACGTCCCCCGCCCCAACCGCCCTACCATCGGTGGTCGGGCCTTCAGCCTCTCAGCCCCCAGGCTCTGGAACTCCATCCCCCAGTGCCTTCGCCGCCTCCTCCCTTTCCTCCTTCAAGGCCGGTCTCAAAACCTTTCTCTTTGACCGTGCCTTCAGCTCCCCTCTCGACTCTCTACCCCCTCCTCGCTCCCTCCCTTCCCTCCCCTCACCCTGACCATTTCCCCCCTCCTCGCTCCCTCCCTTCCCTCCCCTCACCCTGACCATTTCCCCCCTGCTCGGGTCATGACCCAACTGTGCAGCGCCTTGGGACGTCCTCCTGACGTGAAAGGCGCTTTATAAATGGAATCTTGTTGTTGTTGTTGCTTCCTGACTCGGTGTTGTCGGGGAGCCTACCAGGGTCAGGTCCTTCCTTGCCGTAGCTCTAGTCAGTCACCCAGATGCTATTCATGGGGGTGGAAGCAGTTGATCCACTAAGTGACAGTGACCGCAGTTCAACAGCATTCGATTTGACCTGGGAAGCACCACGGGAACACAACCAAAGTTTAAGTGTACAACGTAAGGCTAGAAAACGTCAGGGCGAATGAGGGCTAACATGAGATACATCGACTGGAAGGTAATACTCGAGGACCAATTCTCAGATTTTTTTATACCGAGAAGGACGCAATACAAATTCTGCGAAACTCATCAATGTCAAAAGTTATCAACCTCAGGCTTGTCTGCAAACTTCTTCTTGCTGATCCGCCCAAGGCTCGCTCCAATTCCCTTCAGCGATTTATTCAGGATATCTTCCGAAGTATCCACCAATGCTACAGTGTGTCCTGTTGCAGCAGCTACCTGATAAAAACAGAAACGTGTGCTCAGCAATGTCACGTAATGTCTCAGCCATGTTAGAGCAGAACCACCACCCAGGATTCATGTTTGTTGTGGAGTTAGGGCTGGTGCCAGATCATATAGTGAGTGCTTAGTTCCAGTAAACAACAGATTGTGACGTCTGTTTGTGAAATAAACAGAACAATTGCTAATAGCAACTTTAGTCTTTTTGTGTCAAAACAAAAACAACATTTACCTCAATGCCCTTTTAATAATAATAATAATCCTTGCATTTGATAAGAGCGCTTTTCACGTCTTCTAGATGTCTCTGCAGCCCGTGTCCTCTCCCGCACCAAACTCCGTGACCCCATCTCCCCCACTCTCGCATTGGCTCCCTATCCTTCAGAGGATCCAGTTCAAGATCCTGGTCCTCACCTACAAAGCCCTCCATGGCCTCGCCCCATCTTACCTCTGCGACCGCCTAACCCCCTACCAACCCGCCCGTTCCCTCCGCTCAGCCGGCTCCGGCCTGCTCCACGTCCCCCGACCCACCCGCCCCACCATTGGCGGGAGAGCCTTCAGCCACTCTGCCCCCAACCTCTGGAATTCCATCCTCCAGTCACTCCGCCTCACCCCCTCCTTAGCCTCCTCTTCGACCATGCCATCGGTCACTCTCCTCTCTTCTCTGCCCCCGACCCCAGCTCGGGTCTGAAACGTTGTACTCAGTCCAGCGCCTTGGGACGTCCTCCCTACGTGAAAGGCGCTATACAAATGTAATCTTGTTGTTGTCTCAAAGCGCTTCACAGAATATATTGTAAAGTGAATTGACTGTAAGTTTGTGGGCGAAACCCAGCAGCCAAATTGCGCACAGCGGTGTCCCACAAACAGTCGTGGAATTGAGTGACCAAATTATTATTTTGTATTATTTTTTTCTTGAGGGATTATTATCAGGCGTGTGGAGCAAGGAAACTTGCCCGAGGTTTCGCCCTGACCTGCCGGGAATCAAACCCAGGTCTCGCTTGCGAGGCGAGTGCTCTAACCACTGAGCTACAGGACTCTACGTCCTACAACATAAATTATTCTGCAAACATTATGACTCATAATCCTTGTATTCAATAATAGTATCTAGAATATCTCAAAGCTTTTCGTAAACGTTTTCAAAACTCTACTGCTATGTAAAATGTAAAAAGGGCGCTGTGTAAATGCAAGTTATAGCTGCTGTTGTTCTGCGAACTGCAGCAACTATGTATTTGTAAGCAAACGTGGCAATCTATTTGCACACAGTCATGTCCCACAAACAACTGTGAAGCGAATGACTGAATGTTCAAACATAAATTTTAGAATAGATTTATTTTTTAAAAATATGAATAACTGTTGGTCAGTGTCACAGATAGTGATTGTTAACGCTGCAACTGCAAAAGTTCAAGTTATCACCTGTACGTTCAATATTTCTTAAATCTTAACTTTCACGATGTCTTTTCCAAAACTTGTGTGTGAACATTCAGTCACAATGCCTGAAATTTCCCCCTAAAATCCCTCTGCTTTGCTCAATGCTTTCAAAACCCTCTTAAAAGGGTCCTGGCCAACAATCCCCCAAAATAAAATTGGTCATTCACTTCATGGCTGGTTCTGGGACATTGCTGTGCGCAAATTGGTTGTCACCACAAAACACAGACACTGCACTTTACAGCATATCACGTGAATCACTTTGGGACGTCCTCCTGACGTGCACTAAATGTAAGGATTTTTATTATTATTGTTAATGATACAAATCTACACATTTGACTACTCTTTGATCAACACCCTTAAATTCACTTTCTTCTGTTCCTTGCTCCTGATGTGAGGCAGAGCGTTGCCCTGGGAGACTGCAGCTCAATCGCAAAATACAATTGTCGATAAAATAAAATACAGTCACTACACTTTCCAGTAAAATCCTGTGAAGAAATCCCGACTACATGATAAGGTGCTGGATCAAATGCAAGGATTATATTATTATATTGTTACTCCTGAAGCATTCATCCTATGTGAAAGCCACTATAAAGCTGCAATCTGTTGTTGCATTGTTAAGTCCGTAATACCTCTAAAATGCGAAAGACATGAGGGGAGCACTTTTTTTAAAACAAAACAACACTGTAATCCAAACACTCAAAGGGCACAAACACGTGGAGACTTATTTATGGTTATGCAGCTGAGTACCCAAAATGACGCATCTTAACCCATAAACAGTGCCATCAGCTGGAATTTAAATGGTAAAGCCGACTGAACGTTATAAAAGTTTATATTCTGGAAACATTGTGTGAATATTCCAGCACTGGTTGCCGGTGTCCTTAAACACCCCCCCACCCCCGCCCCCCCACTGCAAATCATATTCTGGTCAGCCTGTATTTACGATTCCCGAGTTAGTAAATGATTCCAAAAGCAAAGGTCAAAACAGTTGAATTATTTTGTGCAACTGCTGACAAAAGTCCACTGTTGCAACACCATTTCACATTCGTCGTCGATTATTTCATTCTACTTCAATATCTTCCCTTGCTTCCCTCCATCCGGAAAGAAAACATGTCAGCAACAAACAATCAGTCAGACTAATAATAATATTAATATTCCTTGTTTGATATATGCGACTAATCACGTCGTTGAGACGTCTCAAAGTGCCTCACTTTGAATACATTGTAAAATGAATTGAATTCTGGAGGCAAAACGTGGCCGTCAATTGCCCACAGCAGCGTCCCACAAACAGTCATGGATTGAATGACCAAATTATTATTTTATTTTTTGAAGGAATTGTCACTCCCAGAAAAGCGATCCGCCAATCGACTAGGTCAGCAGAGGTGTGTGGAGTAGGGAAACTTGCCCAACGTTTCGCCTGTCGGGAATCAAACCCAGATCTCTTGCTTGCGAGGCGAATTGATATGGGGAACAGTTGGTCCAGGACATTGGGAGAGATTCCCTTCTCTTTTCAAATAGTGCCCCGGGATCTTTAACATCCACCAGGTTTAAAACCTCACCTGAAGGACTGCACCGCTGACAACCCATCAGTACCCCCAGCTCTACACTGGAGTTTCAGGTTAGAATGTGAGCTCAAAGCCCCGGCGTTGGCCTGAACGTACAACCTCCTGACACGGAGGTGAAACTGCTCCAAAAACAGTCAACCTGACGTCTATAAAAAATAGAAACTTTGGTGCTCGTAATATAAAACCATTTATATTATGTGGGGTGGGGGGCAGGGTGCGGGGTATCTTGGTTCGGGTAATGAACTAAAAGATTGTGTATTATTATTATTATTTATGCGTGCATTAAAAAGGATAAGGGCCAGAGGTTGGAGCCACCTGTACTTGAGACACAGAACAAACAAGCCGGTCTGAACCCATTGACGTTGCATAGAACAGGAGCCTCGCCAACAGTCTGGTCAGCACAATCCTTGATAAACTAAATATAACTGCATTCTTTCCCTTCCCAGTAACCGTATCAATTGCATTTACCCCAAGAAAAGTAAGCAGCCAAGGGATGGAGGAGGAGGAGTAGTTCAGTCAGTCAGTCAGTCAGTCAGTCAGGGCTTGTCTGTAAGACGTGCTTTCAGCCAGACTTGTATGGCACAGGTCGTTGTTTGGGAGCACCTCAACAGTTATAATAGGATATCTCCCAACTCCAGAATCAAACCTGTTCCAATTATTATGTTGCACATTAGCACATGCTGTACTCTGCTGCTCACCCTCCAAGCATCCACATTGCTCTAACTTTTTCAGTGTGGGCTAAGTCTTGCCTTGACCTCACATCAGCCATCCCTGACCCGCAATCTGAAGTCAGACAAGGAGGAGACAGAGAGTCCCAGAGTTTCAGGGTACCAGTGGCTGAAGCCGTGGCCGCTGATGGTGGAGCGGAGGGAACGAGGGACCTGCAGAAGCCTCCGGAGTCAGCAGAGAGAAGGGGGTGGACAGAGAAGTGAGGGATCATGAGATGAGAGAGGCACGGAGGTGCCAGCCAGGAGATAAAGTGATTTGTGAGGGTGAGGATCTTGAAATTGATCCGCTCTGCAATAAGGAAGCCAAGGACTGGGGTGATGTGGGTGTGGAGATTGGTTCGGGTTAGGATATGGGCGCACGGGGGAGTTTTGAATGAATTGCAACATAATCGGAAGAGCTGGGCAGATTGGGGAGGGTTTCAAGTCTGTTGGGTGCGAAAAATGGTCAGAGGGCAATGTGGCACAGGTGGGTGACGGGGCACAGGTGGGTGACGGGGCACAGGTGGGTGACGGGGCACAGGTGGGTGACGGGGCACAGGTGGGTGACGGGGCACAGGTGGGTGACGGGGCACAGGTGGGTGACGGGGCAGTCCTGGTCAGAAACCAGATGTTGGGTAAGGAAAAAACGATTGGGGATAAAACCCTATGCCCAGGTTCGACTCACTTACTAGTTCAGCGAGTGGACACCCTGAGGAGATTAATGAGGTCGGGGGCCGCGGGTAAGAAAACATTGACAGGAGGCAACGAGGATGGTTTCACCACTCAGCTGCAGAAAGTTAGCGCTCATCCAAGCCTCGATGTCTGACATCACGTGGAGAAGCTGACAACAACAACAACAACAACACACTGACTTGCGTCGTGCCTTCACGTTGGAAAGACGTCCCAGGGCGCTGGACAGTCGGGGTTTTTTGGACCCGAGCCTGGAGTTGGGGTCAGGAGAGCAGTGGGGGCGCGCGGGAGGGTGGCCGGTCGAAGAGGTGGGTGGCACGGCCGAAGAGGTGGGTCTCCAGACGGGACACGAAGGGGGTTAAGAGAGAGGGTGATATCATGGAGAGTGAGTGTGTAAATGAGGAGGAGGAGGAGGGGGGGGGGGGCGGAGGTCTCAGCTTCGGGGTACGTTGCAGGTATCCGTGCGAGGGGAGGAGATGCCATCTGCGGAGATGGAACGATGGCGGTCGGTCAAGTAGGACTTGGGGAGAGGGGAGAAGAGCGAGTGAAGTCGGGTGGCAACAACGTGATCCAGAATGTTAACGACTGACTGACCGGGTGTAGTGACTGGTTAACTGACCGGCTGGAATAGTGACTGGCAGGCGCAGGAGCTGGCTGGCGGCGGCGGGTGTAGTGACTGACTGACTGACCACTGACTGGTCTCTAAGCGCTCTGGGGCGCTACCCTGCGTGACGGGCGCTATATGAATGACACGTTGCTGTTGTTGTTGGGTATTAACTGACTGAGCGGCTGTAGTGACTGTGACTGACTGAGCGGGTGTAGTGACTGACTGAGCAGGTGTAGTGACTGTGACTGACTGAGCGGGTGTAGTGACTGTGACTGACTGAGCGGGTGTAGTGACTGTGACTGACTGAGTGGGAGTAGTGACTGTGACGGTGACTGACTGAGCAGGTGTAGTGACTGTGACGGTGACTGACTGAGAGGGTGTAGTGACTGTGACTGAGTGACTGAGCGGGTGTAGTGACTGTGAGGGTGACTGACTGAGCGGGTGTAGTGACTGTGACTGACTGACTGAGCGGGTGCAGTGACTGTGATTGTGACTGACTGAGCGGGTGTAGTGACTGTGATTGTGACTGACTGAGCGGGTGTAGTGACTGTGATTGTGACTGACTGAGCGGGTGTAGTGACTGTGACTGACTGACTGACTGAGCGGGTGTAGTGACTGTGAGGGTGACTGACTGAGCGGGTGTAGTGACTGTGACTGACTGACTGAGCGGGTGTAGTGACTGTGAGGGTGACTGACTGAGTGGGTGTAGTGACTGTGATTGTGACTGACTGAGTGGGTGTAGTGACTGTGAGGGTGTAGTGACTGACTGACTGAGCGGGTGTAGTGACTGTGATTGTGACTGACTGAGCGGGTGTAGTGACTGACTGACTGACTGAGCGGGTGTAGTGACTGTGACTGACGGCTTGGTCGCTGGCTGCAGGCCCGAGGCCTCGCCGTGTCAGTGGCCGCGGCTCCGGGTGCAGAGTGAAGGCCCCCCCGGGCCCCCCCCCGGGCCCCCCGCCCCCGGCCCCCGGGCCCCCCCCCGGGCCCCCCCCCCGGGCCCCCCCCGGGCCCCCCCCCCGGGCCCCGCCTGACCTGAGTGATTCCGGCCCCCATCAGTCCGGCGCCGATGACGGTGACGTGTTGGAGGCTGAGAGCTCGGGAGGAGCGGCTCACACAGCGGAGCAGCCGCCGAGTGAGGAAAGCCATCGCCCCGGAGAGAGAGAGAGAGAGACACAGACAGACAACCCCCCCCCACACACACACACACACACAGGGGAGGGGCCTGAGGGGCAGGGGAGGGGCCTGAGGGGCAGGGGAGGGGCCTGAGGGGCAGGGGAGGGGCCTCAGAGGCAGGTGAGGGGCCTGAGGGGCAGGGGAGGGGCCTGAGGGGCAGGGGAGGGGCCTCAGAGGCAGGTGAGGGGCCTGAGGGGCAGGGGAGGGGCCTGAGAGGGCAGGGGAGGGGCCTGAGGGGCAGGGGAGGGTCCTGAGGGGCAGGGGAGGGGCCTCAGAGGCAGGTGAGGGGCCTGAGGGGCAGGGGAGGGGCTTGAGGACAGGGGAGGGGCCTGAGAGGCAGGGGAGGGGCTTTGGAGGGCAGGGGAGGGGCCTGAGAGGGCAGGGGAGGGGTCTGAGTGGACGGGAGGAGGGGCCTGGGAGTGCAGGGGCGGGGCCTTGGAGGGTAGGGGCGGGGCCTGAGAGTGCAGGGGCGGGGCCTGACATGCAGGGGAGTGGTCTGAGAGGGCAGGGGAGGGGCCTGAGTGGACAGGGGGAGGGGCTGAGATGGCAAGGGGAGGGGCTGAGAGAGCAGGGGAGGGGCCTGAGAGAGCAGGGGGTGGGGCTACAGTCGCCTCCCCCTCCCCCGCCTCCTGGCTCGGCCTCATTCTCCGTCACCCTCAAGCGCGGAGGGCGCTATATAACAATAATAAATATAATAATAATAATAATAATATTTGCCTCGGGTTTAGCGCCCGGTCCCGTCTTCGAGGCGTCTCCAAGCGCTTCACAGAACATACCGTAAAGCGAACTGACTGTCCGCTTTGTGGGCGTAAACCCCGGAGCCAATCGCGCCCGGCGGCGTCCGCGCAAACGGCCGTGGTTTGAGGCGACCAAATTGTTACGGTGTTTCTGTTTCTCTTGAGGGACTGTCATCGGGCGCGCGCGCGGAGTCAGGAAACCCGCCCAAGGTTTCGCCCCTGACCCGCCGGGAATCGAACCCAGGTCTCTCGCTGGCGGGGGGCCAGTTGCTCTCACCGCGCGCGACACAAGTGCGAGTTGGGGTCGGCGGCGGCGGCGGCGGCGGCGGCGGCGGCGGCGGCGGAGGCGTTAACTTGAACCACGGCGACTTCCATTCTCACGTTTGTCGCCAGCGTTCGGGTCTTTCGCCGGAACCCGGAAGCATTACTCCGAGTGAATGCGATGAGCGCTTCGCTGGCGGTTGACTACATTTGCCAACGGTTTCACTTTGTTCGCCGCTGAGGCGGTGGTTGTGTCCTTTTTCTCGTCCCTCGCTTTGCTGAATCCCGTTGTCGTCTCCGAGCGCGTAACACCGGTTTCGATTGATTCTCTCCTCACGCTGGTGGGCTCTTTGAGGCTCTCGCAATTAACTTCATGTCAGGAGGACATCCCCAAAAAAAAAAATTTCACAGAATTTACCGTACAGCGCGGGTGGGTGACGTGTTTGTAGGTGAAATGGGACGGCTCGACTGCACGCCAGCAATGTCGCACGCGTAGCCGTGAAACAAACTTGAGCAGAGAGCCCAGCAGCGTGAGGAGGGAGCTGAGTGAGGTGGAACAGAGTGAGAATTCTGCTTAGGAGTTTGGTGAGAGTGGGAATTCTTCAGCAAGAGAGATACCAGAGAGCAAGAGAGAACTCTTTCATTCAGCCGACGAGTGGGAAATCTATCTTGAGGTAGAGGCAACCTTACACGTAAGCAGGCAAACGAGTCGATTAGCAGTTCATCATAGGGCAGTTTTTGGGGGAGTTTTAAAAAATCTGCTGACCGGTCAAAACTGGGAGCCTTTGTTTGAGTCCTATATACAGGAGAAGACTTGCGAGAACCTCAAAGAGCCCACCAGCATGAGGAGGGAACTTGCAGAGGGGGAAAGAGTGCATAATTATAAAATTATATGTTATGTTAAAATAATATAAAACATGTCTGGGAATATCGCAGGGCAGCTGAGAGTGGTTCTGGGCACCACACTTTAAGAAGGAATGTCCAGGGGTTGGAGAAGGTGCAAATGTGATTTACCAGGAATGAGGGACTTCAGATATGAGGAGAGGCCAGAGAAGCTCGGATTATTCTCCTCGGAGCAGAGAAGGTTAAGAGGAGACTTAATAAAAGTTTTCAAAATTGTGAGGCGATTCGATAGGGTGAACAAGAAGAAACTATTCCCACTGGCGGGTGGGTCGGTAACCCCGAGGGCACCGATTTAAAATAGTTGTTAAAAGAAACAGAGGGGAGGTGAGGAGACATCTTTTTTACACAGCGAGTTGTTCGGATCTGGAATGCATTGCCTGAAAGGGTGGTGGCAGCCGATTCGATAACAGCTTTCAAGAGAGAAGTAGGTAATTATTTGGGGAGGACAAGTTTGCAGGGCTATGGGGAGAGAGCGGGGGAGTGGGATTGAATTGGATAACTCTTTTCAAAGAGCCGGCACAGACACGATGGACCGAATGGTCTCTTTCTGTGCTGTATAATTCCATGAAATGCACCAATTTGTCTGGGGTTGTTGGCCAGGACACTCGGAGAAAATCCCTTCTCTTTTCGAATAGTTCCATGGGACAGGCAGACAGGACCTCTGTTTAATGTCTCATCTGAAGGATGACAATTCAACATGCCCCTCGCACTGCACCCTCAGCACAACAGCAACAACAAAAAGTTACATTCATATTGCGCCTTTCACATTGGGAGGATGTGCCAAGGCTCTGGACAATTGATGGTTTGCACCCAACCTGCGGGTTGAATTCGGGACGGGTATGACCAAGGGGGATGTGGGGGGAAGATGACCAAAGGCACGGTCAATGAGACACACCTCAAACAAGGTGAGCAAAGAGGTGAAGTGAAAGGACTCCGAGATGGAGTTCCAGAGAATGGTGGCAGAAAGGCTGAAGGCCCGACTGTCAATGTTGGGGCAGGTAGGGTGCGGGATATAAAGTAGTCCAATGCCTGCCGAGTAGAGGCAGCAGCAGGTTGGTAGATTTAGGGCAAGACCATGGAACGCTTTAAAAGTAAGGCCGAGAATCTTGAACTCGATCCTCTGGGGGATGGGGAGCCAGTGGAGCCGGATGAGGAAGGGGTTTAATAGGCTCACAGGTAGACGTAATAGGGTTAGAAGGAACTCCATCCCAGAATCTCTCTGACTCACTCCTTCTGACAAGGTCTGTCTCAACTCTTTAAGGTCTGTCTCAAGACCTGCTTACCTTTTTGACCATGCTTTTAGTTATGCAACATCCTCCCTACCTGAAACATGCCATATAAATGTAAATTTGTATTGTATTGCCTACCTAATTCGGTAGAGTATGAAGGGTAGGTTGGTAAGAACCAAGGCTTGGGGGCCCCAGAGTGTGCATTGGGGTGCTGCAGGAATTTGAACAGCTAAAACCACACAGCTTGCCATTAAAAGCACTGTCTGGCAAGTTTCCTGCTGCTTGTCCAAGGAATTGTCTCAGACAGTATCTTGCATATAAAATTTTAGGCAGGATTGTGAAATAAAACCCAGGACAATATTGGAATGCGCTAAGATAGCAGAACAAGAGAAAGCAGGTTTAGGATTGCAAAGGGCAATTTCAAGACAGGCACTAGGAAGTATTTCTTTACCGAGGAGGTAATTAATGACTGGAACAGGTTACTTGGAAGGGTGATTGAGTCCAGCATATTGCGCGAAACTGTGTCAGCTTGGCTCAGCTGGTAGCGTTCTCACTTCTGAATCAAGGGATCATAATGTTTTTTTTGGTCAGCCGGCTGTCTGGAACATGCAGATGCCCATCATCATGATTAAGAGTACCACATATTTAATAATAACAATAATAGTAATAAATACTATTCCTTGCCTTTAATATTTTGTCTTTCATGTTGAGGCAATGTCTCAAATCACTTCACCAGATTCAATGTAAAGTGCACTGATTGTGTATGTTTGCCACTTGTGCACACACAACTGTCCCACAAACCACCAAACAGCATATGTAAACCATCTATGCATTGGGATTTTATAGCACCTTTTCACATTAAAAGTTTCAAAGCACTCCAAAGGTAATTATTGTCAAATTTAGTGACTGTTTTCTTGCAGAGAAACACAACTGTCATTTTACACACAGCAAAGTCCAAAATGAGCCATGAAATGACTGGCCAATTTATCTGGATCATTGTTGGCTAGGACATCAGTAGAAGTATCCTTCTCTTTTTTGAATAGTGCAGAGAGATCATTAATATCCACTGAAACAGACAGTTGGAACCTCAGTTTAACATCTTACCCAAAGGACAACACCTCCAACAATTCAGTGCTCACCTATCACTGTATTGGAATGACAGCCTAGACTGCTAATTTTGGATTGGGACAACAACAACAAGATTACATTTGTAAAGCCCTTTCACATCGGGAGGACGTCCCAAGACCCTGGACAATGTACAGCAAATTCAGACCTGCGCTAGGGTCAGGGAGGGAGAAGGGAGGGGAGGGGAAGGGGGAGTGATCGATGGCATGGTCGAAGAGGATGGTTTTGAGGTGGGACCTGAAGGAGGTTAAGGAGGGGGTGAGGCGGAGTGATTGGGAGATGGCATTCCAGAGGTTATTCCAGATAAAGTTATCAAACCTACTTGGCAGCTGTAGAGTTAGCAGAATAAAGAGGGGAATTGGACAGGACTTGAAATTTGGAAGTCAGGAAATTTTCTTCGTAATCTTTTGTTGTGTGTTAGTCGGATTGACATAGACAATCTAAAGTTACTAAACCAGTCTGTGGACAAAGCTAGGTCATTATCCACTTGGAAGAGCCAGCTTTTTTATGTGACCCTTATGTGGCTTTTCATACGAAAGACTATGAGTCTTTCCTTATCTTTATCGCGATGCTTTCCTTTTTATCTTGGGATGGGGATGGGGAGATTGCATCGTGTCTAACGGCAATATTTTTAGTCTGCTAACAGTCAGCTAATCCACGACTGGACTGGCAGAGAATGTGAGCACGGGAGCTTAAAAAGACATGAGTCACCATAGATACTGTCTGGCCTCTTGTGGTTGGGGTTTGTGTGTGGGCGTGTGTGTGTGTGTGTGTGGTGGGGGG